TGCTCAAGTCCCTTATATAAAATGGCCTAGTATTTGCATATAACCTACAAATATTCTCCCATATACTTGAAATCATCTCTAAATTACTTATAATACAATGTAAGTGCTATGTAAATAGTAGTTATACTGTATTGTTTAGAGAATAATGCTCTGTACAGATACCATTGTAGGCCCAACCACATAGAACACACCAGAAATAAGGTAACATTTCTCCACCCCCCAACCCCTGAGTACTTTGCATCCATAGTTGGTTGAATCCATGGATGCAGAACACACAAATATGGAGAGCCAACTATGTTAGGAGGTGGGGCCTTTGAGGGGTGATTAGGTCGTGAGGGTGGAGCCCTCATGAATGGGATTAGTGCCCTTGCTAAAGAGACCCCACAGAGCCCTTTATCCCCTTCCACCATGTAAGGACATAATGAGAAGTCTGCAGTCTGGAAGAGGACCTTCATCTGACCTGCCGACACCCTGATCTTGACCTTTAGCGCCCAGAACTGTGAAAAATAAATTGCTGTTGTTTGTAAATCACTCAGGTTGTGGTATTTTGTAATAGCAGCCCCAAAGAACTAAGACAGCCACTAAGTTGCTTAGAACGTCATCCTGATATGCTAAAGTTGTAGGTTCAATCCCCTGTCAGGGCACATAAAGAATAAAATGATTAGAAGGGTAAATTTTCCATTATGTATATTTTATCATAATTAAATATAAAAATATTTAATACAAAAAGATTAAGATCAAAATCTCCACTCAAAGATAATCACTAATAGCATTTTGCCATGTATTCTTCCAGAGGCAAATATAAATGAATGATATGATATATTTTATAAAAATAGCATAGTTTGGTAACCTGCTCTTTAGAAATACCTATTTTTCCATGTTAATAAAGAAACATCCTTGTCTTATTTTTTTGTAGCCACATGGTATTCCAAAGTATACAGATACACCATAATTAACAAGTTTCCTATTAGTGGACACTGAGTCTCCAGTTTTTTGCTGTGATGGCCATTATCATAACACTGAGGACATCCCTGTGCACACATTCTTCTGTGCTTGTCCAATTGTATCCTTGGGATAAGAATTCCTCCAGGTGGAATTGCTGAGTCAGGGACTCCCTTGGGAAGATCATCAGCAAAATAAACGCAGCAAGGATGCTGAATTCTGTCTTATTAAAGTCTGTTTCCCCATGCGGACTGCTCCTGGATTCCACTTGGGTGTCTATGATGTTGCATAGTGTTCGGGGAAGGAGGGATAGTCCTTTCCATGAGAAATCATCCCCTCCTGGACCCCACTCCCCTGCCTCCTCTGGGGACACAGCATGCCTGTGTCATGAAGTGAAATTGGTACACCAGGAAGGCAGAATTTTACTGGGTTAATGCCCACTGGATCCCGGTGCCAGCAGAAAGACCCCAGCAAAGCACTAGGGTGGTCCAGTGCCGGGTGCCCTACAGTGGACAAAATAAGTGTGGACACAGGAAAGTTTTTCTTTTGTTAAGGGTTTGTTCTTGTGTGGACAGAAGGAGAATGCAATAGACTCTTCCTAAAAAACCCAAGAACTAGAAGGGACTAGTGGGATCATCTAACCCCTTGCTTGGAGATAGGGAAGCTGGGGCTCAGAAACACTCAGAGCATAAACATTTCAATAATCTTCAAACAAATCCAGAAGTGTCTCACACACAGTGAATCCACCAGCTCGGGGCAGAGTCAAACATACCCCAAATTTTGACATCTAGTACATTTTTTTCCATCCTTCCTGTGTACAAAGTTGGAAACCAAGACCTGAGGTCCCATCCCAGCTCGGACACGACCAGACGTGTGCTGAGGTGGGCTCCTGCCGGCCTCGGGAGCTGACCGAGCACATCTTGGCCCAACTCAGTGTTGAGTAATGCCATGTAGCAGCTTGAAATCTGCCACAGTGGGTATATTTTCACTAAAGAAACTAGCAGATAGCAGAAAGCAGGGCCTTTTCCTCCCTGTAGAGCCAGTTGGTAAACATCACAGGTCACATTCTAGACGGAGAAACCATGAGCAGGTGACCTCAGTTTGCTCACACAGCCTGCGGGCAGCACTATAATCCTCCACGGTCCATTGTCCATCGTAACTTTCACTCCTAAACCCATCACAGTCCCTGCTACACTAATCAGTGAGCCAGCAAACATTTGTCTGCATGCTTGCTGTCTGCCAGGCCCCGGGCTGAACACACAGCACAGTATCTCTGTGGGATCATTATCATTTCCATCTTACACTCAGGGAAACTAACGCTCAAGAGACTTCAAATGGCTTTTTAATTACAGGCTAAAGCCTTTCTTAGGATGGTAGCCCCTGAAAGCTGACCCTAAAATACAGGTTCAGGTGCCAGTGAAAGGCAGTGGGAAAGTGAACAAGGAAGGAAAGGCAGCCAATGAAAGAAGCTCTGAGACAGCACAGAACATGCCCCCAAGTTACCCCAACAAACAAGTGAGGGGGCTGAAGCATTTAGCACCACCCTCTCCTACCAGCCATTGGTTGAGGCCACAGGCACACAGGAGGATGCTGACATCACCCTCAATGCCACACGGCTGGAAAATGGTAGAGTACAATTCAAACTCCAAATTCAGAACTAGTTTCATTACTTTTAAAGAGATGGGCCGTTAATCAAGCAAACACTTAACTGAGTACCAATTATGGGTAAAGCACCACGCTGGTGAGGTAAACCTACTTTGTCAAGTGACTTTGGCTTGACATGTCCCAGGGAAGCACAGGGGTGTTTTTTTGCCAATTTTTATGAATAGAAGTAATAGAAAAAGCCCTTCCAAGTTACTTTGCCTGTCCCACGGGAATCAGCCAAATGCCTTTCCCGCCGGCTTCTCCTGTGAGAGACTGCCCTCTCTGGTTCAGCCAGTCGCTTTGGACGGGAGGTCCACAGCCCCAAGATGTCATCCCAAGCAGCTGCATCAATCTGTGATTATAGGCTCCAGAGTCGGCCACTCCAGAGATGACCGCAAATGACCGCCTGGACGTCCAGACAGCTGAGTCTGAAGACTGTCCCTGTGTATTGTGCCCTGCTTTCGCTGTGCCTCCCGCACCCTCCCCTCCCCTCAACGTCCTCCATGGGAACCTACAAGCAGGGCAAATAAATGAAACCACAATCACAGGTCTGTGGGAGCTTGCCCAACCTTAAGGATTTATTTAAAATTCTTCTGAAGAGGCGGGGAGGTGTTTAAATGGGCCAGGGTGTCATTGGGGTAAATCACGGGACCATACTGTGAGCAGTGGAGGGAGGGGACTGCTGCCCTGGTTTTATAGACCCTGCTGTAGCCGTTCTCAGCAACTATGTCTCAAAGACAGAGACTGGATGTCTTGTTTTACTCCAAGTGCATGGTGGAGAACTGCCCAGTTTTTCACTCTGTGGGGAGAGGAGCAGAGGTCGTGGGCAAGTCCCAGAACTGCCCAAGGATCGCCCAGTTCACACCTCACCCTCTCCACAGGCTTCTTTGGCAGTCTGGTCCTGACCCTGCACCCCACCTCAAAGTGAGCACGCTTCCTGCCAATGTACCTTAGAGAGGACTGGAGGCAATAATCAGGCCAAGGTCCTCTTGTGCTTTGGTGACAGGACCCTTTTCTGGCAAGCGCTGCAGTCCAGCCCTTGGCACGCCAGCACAGATGCCAGGCTCTTCGGTCCTGGGCATCTCTCTAGCTCACTCTTTCAGCCATTCCTAAGCAGTTCACACACAGAAAGCAGGCACAAAGCTTGGCTCCAGGGCACCAGGAAATAGGCCAACACATCAAAGCAAAAACCAGCGATGACTGGTCAGTCCCAGGTAGGCCAGTGCATCAGACGCTGAGGAGGACTGAAGGGCCAAAAACAAGGTGTAGGGTCACCTACCACTCCCAACTCCTAAGATAACACAAACCTCCTCTCCAGAGGTCTGAACCCCCAAACAGAAGCCATGCAGAGAGGTGGGTTCTGGAGCCCAAGGGCAGAGACAGACCACCCTCAGGAAGGTGGGGGTGCTGCCAGCTAGAGAGGTGCAGCAGGTGCAGGTGCTGCATATGCCCTGGGCCACTCAGCCAGGTGTAGACAGGACACTCCCACCTTCCCTAGAAGGAGGACATGACTGAGCACCCCATATCCCCTGGCCTCCTCCCAACTGAGCTTCCCAAAGGTGCCCCTCATCATTCTAACTGATTTCACCAGCACATAAATGAGGGCAGAAGAGCATGGGATATGTCTACGCTGCACCCCAAAGATTATTTGATCTCCCCAATACTCAACCTCTGCTCTTTCCCATCTTCTGGAGGAGGAGTGGGACTCACCTCCAACCACCCCAGCACAGGGAAACCCAAATGGTACAGCCCAGCCTCCAGGTGCCCCAGCAGGCTGCTTGCTATGCCTCCTTCTCCTGGGGCAAGAACTACCCTCTTTCCAAAACTACCTCACTTCTCTGAACCCAGCCATCATCTGAGGCCCTCTCTATCCACACCTCCCCACCCAGCGCCCCCTCCTCCCCACCCAGCAGCCCCTCCTCCCGCCTGTCCCAGCTCCCAGGCATCAGCTGACCTGTCTGGAGGAGAAAGCACAGCCGGTGCCCAGACCCATGGCCCCACTCCAGGGTCTCTGATCCCTAATGGGCACCTCCCAGGCCAGCTCCACACAGTCTCTAGGACACAGCATTCGGACACAAGCTAAAAAGAATGAACTCCCCTCAAGCAACCCAACATATCTTAGTCAGGAGAAGTGCCTTTAATTTTTCAGACTGTCGCAGAAAAAGTTCCCAGTAAGTAAATGTGGATTGATAAGTAAAATAATTCCAACCCCTGATTCCTCATCCAGATGCTCTGGAAAGAAGGCCCCTGGCTCTGGCTCACAGGCAGCTGTTTGAAACAATCATTGTTTCTGATTCTTTCCTTCCATTGTACCAAGATCAACTGTGGCAGGAACTGAGTCCCGCTCCAGGACAAATTGTTAACTTGTCAGCTCATTGGCTCAAACATTCATTCATTATATGTAAGGTACTCACTATAAACTTGGCCACTCTCGACACAGCCTCTGTCCTCTGGGAGGCCACGTTCTAGATACCCGGATTCCAGTCACCTGGGAATAAAATGCGTGGCACCGTTGAGAAGCCTCGTGCTCAGCTCCTCCGCTCAGCGAGGTGCTGTGATCAACCCAGGTCCCACAGAGCACCTCTGAGCAAGACGGAAAAAGCAGGCGCTCGAAATACAGAAGTGACTGGGGTCCGCCCAAGACACCTGCCGCTCTCCCGCTTAGAGGACAAAAAACCCAGGTCTCCACGGACCTCAAGCACCAGCGCCAGAGGCGGGCGGGAAGGCAGTAAAGGGGAAGTGCCCCGAGGACCAGCCCCCGCCCTGCCCCGGAGCACCCAACCTCCTCGTGAAGCCAGAGGGGGCCTGAACGGGGTGGGGGAGGGTGGCCGGAACCCAACTCTGGGGAACTGTCCATTGGGCGGGGAATAAGAGGACCGGATTGAGTCCGGGTGCTCATCAGGGCTGTTTGCGTCTGCCATCCATGCACCTGCCGCCCTGCCCCATCTCGCCAGGGAGTCCCCGGGACCCCGGGGATGAGGTAGGGGTGCCTTCCAGCCACCGCCCTTGAAGCAGAGAGAAAGAAGAACCCCCAGGGCTCGGGGAAGGAGGACGAGCTCGGAGCCACAACTTTCTCCGGCCGGAAGGCGGGTGGGCTGGGGGGCTCCAAGCCCGGGCAGCCCTGGGGAGTTGGCATCCCCGGGCACCTCCCGCGACTGGGGGAGAAGGGAGGAGACCAGGGGCAGGCGAGGACTGAGGGACTGACCCGGACCGGGCAGGGGACTCTGCGGGAGAACTTTCGGCCAGGCGGGAGAGGGGCAGGGCAGAGAGGCCCGCCGGGTGCCCTGCACCTTGCGTCCCGCATGCTGCGTCTGCAGCCTTGTCCCCGCGCCCGGGCGCCCCGAGCCCCGCGCCTTGCCTGTGTTCCAAGACCGCTGCATCTCGTGCGCGTGGCGGAGACTGTGGAGTTGGAAAGAGGGGTCCTCGGCCCAGCGTGGGGAGCTGCTCCAGCCCGAGCCTGGGTCAGTGTTGGGAGGGTCGGGATCAAATCCGGCGGGGCAGGGTTGTGGGCGGCCCGGTGACTGGGGGTCGGACGCCCCGCCCTCCTCACGCCCCCTTCACCCCTCCTCGCCCTCTTACCCTCCCCAAAGCCTTTATCTCCCCCTATCCGGTCCGATCATCCTCCCTCCCCTGCTTTCTCGAGCTCTCCATCTCTCCCCACACCCCTCTTCCCTCGCCTTTCTTCCTCCCCTCCTTTCCCGCCCTCCCCCTCTCTCCCTCCCCCCGGGGGGGCGGAGCTTCTCCCCTCCCTCCCAGACAATGCTGTGGCTGCGCGTCCCCTACTTCCCCGCCTTCGAGTCCAGGCTCCGCTGTCAGTGCCTCTTCTCTTCGGGCTGGGGGTGGGGAGGGGTCAGGGGTGTGAATGCCCGGAGGGGATAACAGTGCGAGGGTGAGGAGGTTGAACTGGCTCCCCTCACTTTATTCGCTCTGCCCTCTCAGGGAGGGATGGTGTCTTGGCTCTAGCCCCTCCGCTCGCCCCGCGCTGTGACAGCCACTCCCAGGGAACAGTCACTCTGCCCGGGGGAGCCCACCTCGAACCCCCCGGATTTCCCAGGCAGTGGACATAGGATTCCCCCCACCCCGCAACATCCAGGCTTATTCCAAAAAGGGTTTGAGCTGAGCAAGAGCTAAGCCAGGCCCCTCGGACTTCGCGGGCTGGCAGACGTGACAGTAATGTGAAGGAGGCCAAGAGTCTTTGTCCACCTCTCACCTCCCCCTCTTATCCAGTCGTGGACCTCGAGGGGCTCTCCGTGCCCCGGAAGCCTTAGAGCACCCCAGCTGCGGGCAGGGGAAGGGGTGTTCATCTGTTTCCTCCCTGTTATCAGAATTCTCCCTTCGCACACATACCCCAATTCTGAAAAGTCAGTCCCCAGCGAAAGGGAAGGGGGCCTAACAGAAAATGGGTAGCCAACCCCCAGGATACAGCAGGATCAGCTCATCCCTCCTGGAAGCCAAACATTCTTTACTAAATTCATTGTTTGGGTCTTGGAATGCGTCTCCCTTAGAAACAATATTATAACATGGAAATAAAGAAAAGGATGACAGTGACCAGAAGGGAGAGGGGAGGGGGGATAACAGGGGAAACAAGGGGAAAGGGCAAATCAAAGAATATGTATAAAGGACCCATGGGCATGGACCACCCGGTGGAGATTGACTGGGGGAGCATGGGAGGGCAATGGGGGCAAATGGAATAATTGCAATTGAACAATAATTTTAAAAATTAAAAAAGGAAAGAAAAAAAGAAACACTGTTATAAATGGTGATCTGCTTCCCAGGCCAGCCACAAAAGTCTTTTGAACCCAAAGCAGCTGTAGGGTGGCACTGAAAACTGTGTCAGCTACCCAGGAACAAGGAGGCCACTGACCAGCTTTTTCTACAGAAAAAAAAAAATCATCTGGTTCTTTCCCCTTGAGCTATAAACACAAAGCTCTCCCTTGAATTCCCCCCTCCAGCCACTACTGTGTGTTAGTTAAGCTTCTTCCCTTTGCAGGTAACATGAGCACCCTCAGAGGAGTGTATTCTGAGGACAGGGGGGTTGGTTTCTCTGTAGCCTCAGGGTCACAGCTGCAGGGAAAGCTCAGTAAGAGTTAAATCCAGAGCCTGGAGGGCTTCCAGTAACACAGGCCAACTCAGGGTTGTCAGACTCATTTTCACCAGGGGCCACATCAGCCTCGAGGTTGCCTTCAAAGGGCTGAGTATAATTTTAGGACTGTATAAATGTAACTACTCCTTAACAGTTAAGTGAGAGCTCAGTGCTGCCGTGTGGTAGAAACAAGGTGTGGAACAGATAAAACAAGGTGGAGGGCTGATTCCGCCCAAGGGCCTTGTGTTTGCCACCTGTGCCTTACATCATAGACTGACATTTCCCACACCCCAGACACATGACAAAGGGTGGCAATTGCTTGCATTGCTGGGGCTTGGAGCTCCCCTGTTGAAGAAAGCAGCCAGGTGAAGCTAGAATTCCTGAGTCTATTCCAATTTCGCAGAAGAGCAGCTCATTGGCCCAGCTTGGGTCAGGTGCCCATCCCATGCCCAATCAACTCATGCCAGTGGGAGGCTTACCTTGTCTAAATGAAACTGCCAGGAACCCTAACCATATTCTCTGCTTAAAATAAAATCCATTCCTCTTCACTTGAACTCTCCGTGGTGGTGAATAAATTGATTGATTAGTTCAAGACATCAGAAAACCTCTTTTTTTCATCAGTTTCCCTATACAGGAGTCACAGGAGAGAAAGCAATAGGCCCTTATCCTTCAAGGCAGTATAGGGACAATACATTTGCAATAGGGATAATATTTTGCAAATGGATTATTAAAGACACTCCCCCCACCACCACCACCAAGCCCTGCTATTTGCAGCCCTCCACCCCCAGAGACTGGATCAGGAGGCACATGGCCACGGGGAAGCAGCAGGGAAGCATTGCCTACAACTGGTCCTTCAGTAGGAATGCAATGCAAACCGCAGGTGTGCTTTACAACTTTCTAGCCACATTACAAGTAGTAAAAAGAAACAAGTGAAATTAATTTTAATATGTTGTATTAAAATTATAAACCAAATATCCAAAAGATTGCCATCTCAATCTGTAAACAATATAAAGAAGTTATTCATGAGATGTTTTATATTCTACTTTTCTACCAGGGCTAAAAAATCAGGTGTGGATTTACACACATCTCAATTTGGATGTTAAATTTTCATCAAAAATACTTGATCTGTATTTAGGTTTTATACAATTTCTACTTGAAAAAGTACATTCACATACCCAAGTTGCTCCAAACAACTTGCTTAAAAGTTTCCCCAAAATTCATTTGAGTATTTTTTTAATCTATGTTCTAATTAAGATTACATAAACTTAAAATTCAGTTCCCCCAGTCACATTTCAAGTGCTCAATAGCCACATGTGGCTAGTGGCTCCCCTATTGGGACTGAACAAGTTCATGGAGCAAGGACGCCACTGATGGGCTCAGAGTCTCACAGCCAACTTCCCTTATCTCTTTAGCAGAACAGTGGCAGGAATGTCAAGCATGGCCAGACAGAAAATGATTTTCCAAATTCCTTTATGTCCCCCCTGTAATATCTCAGGAGGCAGCTTTTGCCAGTAGATCTGAGTTCTACTTTATGCCTCAGGAGAAGCAAGGTATGCAAAGAAGAAGAGGGTGCCCAAAGCCCACTCTTCTGCTCCCGTGGATAGATTCTAAGAGAGGGTGGAAGCAGGGGACACAGACAGCTGGAAATGTAACAGGGTGCAGCCCAGAGGGGGGCCCCAAATACAGATTTGGAATGGGGTCCAGAACTCAGGATGTCCAGGAAATATTAAAAAGATGTATAGGGTGTCCTCACCCCTTCCCCCCATGGGTGTGAGTTGGGGGAAGGGACACATGGAGCAGGAACATGCAGAGCTGTTTTGTACAGCAACAGCTTTGCAGCTAACCTCTGGTGTGGTTATTTAACATATCTATAACCTTTAACTGGTTTCATAGATATGTTAAATAGCTGTGGCCATGCCTTGAGCCAGGGGGATGGAAGTGACTTCCACCCAAGATGTAACTGGGGGGCAGCTCCCCCTGGTTACAGGGCCTGCATGAGAGTTTGGAGAAGATTGGCTCCATGACATGGGGCCACACCTGCCCAGACTCACTATGGCAGCCCAGTAAACTTGGAATAATACAGGAATGCTGACAGGTATAATTGATTATAGGAGGAGTCGGAAATGGGGGTACAGAGGAAGGTTGGCACAGGGATTTAAACCCAGACTCAGCAGCTGTGAAAGAGGAGAACCACGAGGCTTTGGCAAGAGTGAGAACCCCCGCAGCTTTGGTGGGGAGAGAACCATGTGGTTTTGGGGTGCTCCCTTTGGCCACGAGGCTTAGGAAGCAGGAGAGACTTTGCCTGGAAGAAAAGGAGTGAAAGGACTCTTGCTGGTGGGCCATGAGAAGGTGCCACATGACTTTGGATTAACTGGAGATCCTGGCAGTGACACAGCTGATGGTGCTGGGAGCCTGCATCGTGGACTTCTAACTTCTGTTCCTGAGATATAGTTCCCCAAATTAGGGCAGAGGGAGAAAGAAGGACTGTGTGCATCTCTGGGTATCCTAAAGGACTTTAATATTTTAATGAAGACATTGGGTCACTACTTTAAGTCTGTATAGCTTTAAATAAACATTTCCTTTCCTTTTCACAAATCTCTGGCACTGAGAGACGTCTTTCCTCTGGCAGCAGGCATAGCGAACCTGGGGGGTCCCTTCGGTAATAGTATATCGTAACCCCCCACCCCCCGCCACCCTGTTCTGTAAGAGAAATACCACTTCTGCCCAGTTTTTGACCTTCGACCAGAGTGAGGATATATGTTGAGGGGTGAAAGGGGTTCTGGAGGATAGAAGGGAGAAGACTGCCACACTGGCTGCTCTGCCTGTTCTCAGGTGCTGACCAAGGAGATGGGGCAGCTTCACTAAAGTCAACTTAGTGGATCACTGTGGCTACACAGCAGGAGGGCCTGGGTTTAGCTTTCTAGGGTCACTTCACGATTCATGCATAGCCTAGACATGAAGTTCCCACCTGCTCCCAAGGACCAGGGGCCTCAGAAGGAAACCAGACACTGAAGCACAGGCCTTCCATAGGTATTGTCTTTGAATTCCCTCAAAAGCAGAACTTGAGACAAGGACATAGGTACAGGTAATTTACTTAAGAATTCATTTTAGAAAGCAAGAGAGTGAGACGGGCAAGGAGAAGCTAGTAAAGGGTGTGCGACAGGGGCTCCATCCCTCTGGGGACCCTCCGATGAAGTGTGTAAAGTGAGCCTCAGAACTGCCCTCTCTGAAGGTCGAGGGTGGGGGCTGGGGCATTTACCTGCTGACTCTCATCCCCCACAGGCTGAGGATTACTCCCTGGGAACGCTTGCCTCTTCTTACTTCCAGGCTGTGTGGACATCTTTGGCCTCAAGAAAACATCAGGAGCAGAAAAGCAGGAGTGCTGTCACTGGCACTTGAGGTGGGACTAGTCACTGTGCATGGAACTGCCCTCCACGGCTATGCTGCAGTGAGAAGTGGGCTGAGGGCATGAGTCACAGAACACATAGATCATTGGGTCTAAATTCCAGCATGGATTGGGCATGTTGACCCTGGGGGCTAGGTCAGGGCTTGGCAGGAGGACATGATGGGGGCTCAGAAGGAA